CGCGGTTACTCACGGACGCGATACTCTTCTTTCTCTATCCCGGGGGCGCAGGCCGCGCCTGTGTACGTAAAATCGAGCAGACGAAGAGTAGCCCGACCGGGGGATGAAGAATAATATTTGAAATAATTGAGGGAGTGTTGCCGCTGGCAGCTGTCGAAAGGATACCAACCGAATCCGCTGGCTTTTACCGACAAGGAACACTAGGCGAGCCGTAATTTAGCGAGTAATTCTTCTTCTTTTTTTTGGTTCATTTTAACGCGCGTTGTTCTACTGTCGAACCGAGCGACTCACGTTCAAAGGGGTTGGACCAAACCCCGAAAGTTTAATTCGCGATTATTCCGTGTTTCCGCGAGAAATTTGAATTTCTATATTTTCGCGACCCTTGACATTTTTACACACGATATTTCTTTCAATAATATTTATTACGCAGGGTGCTTACATTTTAAAAATAGAACATGCATGTTTTTTATTATCGACATTTTATCGATATATTATTATCGATGTATTATTGCCGGAAATCATTTCTAGGCCGATTATTTTGTGAACGGTCAAAATATTGAAAATAAATATATGTAAAATACGCGTGTATATACGTGTAATAATAATAATTATATATGTGTAATAAATACAAATAATTAAATAAATATATACGTTCGTGTGTGTAATAATAATAATTACATATGTAATAAATATAAATAAATTAATGAATAAATATATATAAATGTGTAAAATAAAATGTTTAACTACACATCCGAATATTTTTCAGAGTCACCGTGCACAAATCGGGACTTCCAATCGAGAAATCCCGGTTGCTTTTTGCCCGCGAGACGCAGCTCCGCCCGAAACGATGAAGATACAAGGCGCCGACTTCGTTCTGCGCGGCGCGTTCCTCATTTCGCTGGCAAATCGCGGGTTCGCGAGATTGATCTGAAAATGAATTTTGCATATTTCACGCGTCCGCGGGCCCTCGACGGGGAAACCGCGGGGGTTCTTTTGCTATTCGTTTCACGGGACGTTCGTTACGCGTTCCCGCGGATACAAATCAAGTCTCGTTGACCGAGAATAGAATATGAAGGGGCTGGGAGACGCCGTCTCCAACGTCGTCGTCGTCGTCGTCGTCGTCGTCGTCGTCGACGACGTCGTTCTCCTCGTTATTCGCGCTCAAGTACCTTTTGGGAAAACGTAGCAGCACTGGGATATCGTCGAGCAGGCGCACAGTATCAGAAGAGCTTTCCCTATCATTGTTCGCGGCTTCTTCCGGCGCTCCCTTCTGCAAATCAAACCAACCAGCATTCATCCAACCTCTGGCCCCGTCGCGCGGTTCGCGCAATTACTCGCCGCATTTCATCAAGCTCCTTCTTCTCGCCTTTCAACCCCGGGGACAATGGAATACACGCGCGCGGACACGTGGCGGCGCGCCCGATTGCTCCCAGCGTCTCGGCCGAATGGAAACGAAGGGAGGCCTTATTGACGTCGCCGCCGCAAGTTATCTAGCCCTCTTTTCCGCGGGATTTCCAGCGGAACGCAGCGTCGGTTTCACGATCCAACGCGGTCTTCGCGATCGGCTTCGGTTCTCGCGAAACAATGCCGACACTCGGGCGCGATCAGATCTTCGCGAGATCGATGCGAGATCGCAGTGACCAATGCCGCAATTCCGGAGATTTATTAGCTAGAAGTATTTATAAGCGATTGAGCTGATTGTTTACTGATTCGCGATGCTTGTTTTTAATCGAGCTCGGAACCGACGCTGCTTTCCAGAGGATCAAGTAATTAGGAATGTCGCGAGAAAAGAGAGAGCATCGAGAAATAATTTTTCGAGATGCAGGTTTGAATGTGCACCGCGCATTTGGTATCCAGTGTCCCTTCTCTCGCTCTAAATCATCACAAAGTACACCATTCGATCCACTCAGAATGTTTTCTTTTTTGTATAACATTTGCACCGCGCGAACAGCGTTGAAAAATGCTGCAGAATATAAAATCGAAGTGAAAATGAATTTCGTAAAATTACACGCGGTTGCAGCAATTCTGATTAAATCGCTATCGAAACCGTCAATTTGTTCGTACGACTATGCATGACAATACCAAATCATTAATAATGCAGAATTTAATATTGCAGAATTATTTACAAATTATTATCAATTCACAGAACTTAATATCACAGAAATATTTATAAATTGCTACGAATTCGCGGAATTCAATATCACAGAAATATTTATAAATGATTACGAATTTACAGAATTTAATATCGTATTAATTAGTAATACAGAATTCAACTTTGTTCTATTATGGATAACATAATTGTGACGGTGTACGCGGGATTTCAGAATAAAGATCCACGAAAACGAATTCATTGGACCGGCGAGACAGCAAGTATCGTGATTGACGCGCGCCGTTCAAGACAAAGAAATCCGAGTGTTTCAACGAAACGAATTACCCAGAACATAAAACCCGATGTGCTCGTGCAAACGTTCAGCCACGCTCATTAACTTTCCGACAGAGAAACATTAGCACAGTCACCGAACCATTCGTTCCTACGATCGCCACATTAAGCACACGGAAATCCTTCGGCCCCGGAACCGTATCATTTCGATATACGAGCGCCAGAACTTTTTACAAATATTTGCGACATGGAATCGGATCGGTTCTAATCCGATCTGGACAATTTACGAATTTCCGTCGACGTTTGTCCCTGCGACACTATCGACAGGACACGCCGAAATGGTATTCGTCGTTTGTAATAATTTAGCAGAAAAAGTAGTTGGCCATTTTTGATTTTACTGTGGAATTATGGGTTACGAATTAGTGCACGAAAATATATGAGAAATAGACAGAGAAAAGACGAAAAACGGAGCCTAAACCTTAAAATATTCCAAACATCTTGAAATTTGAGGGTTTGTTTTTGTTTTCACTAAAAGTTACTACTTTTGACGCGCGACGAGTATACTCGTCGTGACAAAAAATACTGCCACTTCTCCGTGACAAGTATACTCCTGTCTCTTATACACATCTAGATGTGTATAAGAGACAGGAGTATACTTGTCACGGAGAAGTGGCAGTATTTTTTGTCACGACGAGTATACTCGTCATGAAGGAGTGGCGGTATCTTGTGTCACGACGAGTATACTCGTCATGAAGGAGTGGCGGTATCTTGTGTCACGACGAGTATACTCGTCATGAAGGAGT